GGAAGATTTGCAAATTTGGCATGAATTTGCATATCTTCTTTCAAAAGCCACGGGCAGTCTAGATGTTCCTCTAGTGAGGGGCTTGACAGGGCCTGGGGGTGAGGATGAGAGTCAGTTATATGGAAAATAGGGGTGGGACCTCTAGAGAAAAGCAGTCCTTAGGCACTCTCATCCAGGCACTAACTTCTAAGGATTTGAGGAAACTCAGGTGGTTCCCCATCCCGTCGCAGACCTGATTGATGCTCTTGCTCAGAGTGATTTCCCCATCTGGAATTCACTCCCGATCCTTCCCCAACGCTGCCATCAGACTGAGAGCTGGGGGAGGCAATGTGCAAAAGCAGCAATTGCCATGGAGACCAGAGTATCTGCATGGGGGGCCGGGGCATAGGGGCAGCAGGATGGTCCGTATACTGTGAGGATGAGGCTTGCTGAGGCGAGCACCATCTTCTGGTGGTGACAGGTGGGGTCCGGAAGGTTGAAGGGGGCAGTAACTTTGTTCAGGGAATGAAGAAGGGATGAAATGGAGGTTCTTCTGTGGGTTTGGAAGGTGCAGCTGGGAGCAGCAGGAGGACCAAGGAAAAGTACATATGCTCTCGTGGCTCTGGGGAGGTGTGTTAACGGTAAGTGGAACATGAGCTAGGCTACATGAGAAATGACCATGATTGTATGGCAAGCCAGGGCCGGCTGTGGCTTTCAAAAAGTGTCCTTCTCTTGTACCTAACCATATTCCCTTTCTTTAGGTCCTGTGAAAAGGTCAATGGTAGCTATGAAATTGGATACTTGACAGTGAAAGAAGATGGCCAAAGCACAGGACACACAAGGGTCACACGCCTCTAGTGAAGATGTCCGTAAGATGCTGAGGAACAAGGATTGCAGGCCATCCGTGGGTTCAGCTTGGTCCCTCATTTACACTAACTCCCCATGTAGACCTGCCCCCTCTTTTTTTCCTTTATCTTATTTGCCTTCTTTAAGTCTCCTTTGAATGGTTGCCAGTAAGTACCACAGTTCATCACTCCTGCTCTGCTCACTGACTGTGTGATAGAACGTTGTGGCTGGGACAAAACTGGAGCAATGAACTGTAGTTAAAACTCCAAAACTTAGGACAGAATAAAAGTCTTTTTGCTCCTCACCTCCTGCCATGTGCACCATATATGGAACCTTCCCCCAGTGTGAGTTGTATTAGACTGGTGTGCCATGAGGCAGTTGGAGGTGTGCTGCAGAGAACAACAGCATTAAAAAAAATGGCTGCCCTTAAAGGGGCAGGCAACCCTTTTTTCCCCCCAATAACTTTCCCCTGACCCTTTTTTCCCCCCTTAGTGTTCCTCATAAAAAAAATTGTTTGGTGTTCCTCTGTATTAAAAAGCTTAAGAAACACTGTATTAAAGGGTATGTCTACACTACAAAGTTAATTTGAAATAACAGCAGTGTCTACATAGGCCACATAGTGTCTACATAGGCAAACCGCTATTTCGAAATAAATTCGAAATAGTGGAGCCCTTATTTTGAATTTTGGTAAACCTCATTCTACAAGGAGTAACACCAAATTTGAAATAGCTATTTAGAATTAAGTGCTGCGTAGACACTTAATTTGAAATAGGGGGCCTCCAGCCCTTCCCAGGGAGCCCTGGTGGCCACTCCAGGCACAACCAGGAACACTTACTCTCCTCTGCCCCAGCCCCGGAGACATTAAAGGGGTAGGCCCTGGCCACAGTGCCTGTGCCAGCTCCAAGCCTGCCAGCCCAGAGCCAGCAGTGGCCACCAGGGCAAGTCACTGGCAGCCAGCCCTCCACTGCTCCCCAGGAGCAGTCTGCCAGCTCCCAGGAGCCTGACAGGCTGAAGAAGGAAGGCGCCTTCCTGGTCCAGGGTGGAGATCATGGACCTTATTCAGGTTTGGGGGGGGGACCCCCAATCCTGAGCTTCCCCTCCCCCTTCTTCCCCTTGCTTCCCCCTTCCAGTTCCCTCCTCCCAGGTTTCCCCCTCCCCTCTTCCACCCTCTTTCTTCCCCCCTCCCACCTCCTTTTCCCAGTCTCCCCTGAGGTTCATCCCCCCCCCCCCAGTTTTGTTCAATAAACCCCGTTTCTTTTTT